TTGCATTACACTGCTGGTGGAACTATGTTAATATTTGAGTGGATTTCAAGAAAATGTCTATTACCAGATGTAAGGAAGGACATTTAATAAATCAGTTCATCAAAAATATTAGCATTTGATATTATTTCAGGAAGCATACTCTGTATGATTTCAGCACTTTCGGATTTATTGGGATTTGCTTTATAGCCCAGCCCTTATGGTCTGTCTTGGTGAATGTTCCACATTCACTTGAAAAGAATGTGTATTCTACTGTTGTTAGGCATGATGTTCTTTATGTGTCATTTAGGTCAAGTTGATGATGTTCAAATTTTCAACGTCCTTATTGATGTTTTTGATTGTTTGTCCTGAGAAAGTGTTGTTAAAAACTCCAAGTATTACTGTGAATTTGTTAATTTCTCCTGTCAGAATGTTCTGTTCATTTTTGCTTCATTTATTTTGAAGTCTTGTTATTACGTATATGCATATTTAAGATTGCTTAATGAATTGGCTCTTATCATTATTAAATGTTCCTCTTTATCACTATAAGAGTCTTTTTCTTGACATGTACTTTGTCTATTAATATAGTCCCAACAGCATTCTCATGCAGTGTTTGCATGGTACATCATTTTTTCATTTTAATCTATTTATGTCCTTTTCTGCATATTTAAAATACTGTTTTAGATAGTATGAGTATATTGTTGAGTCCTGCTTTTTTATCCAAGTTGATAACCTATGCATTTTTTTGGAATTCATTTATATGTAATTTAATTATTTATGTGCTTTGGTTTAAATCTTGATATTTATTTTCCATTTATCCTTTCTGTTTTTAATTCCATTCTCCTCCTTTTCTTGCCTTCTTTGGGGCAAATGAAATTTTGTTTAAACTTTCATTTATTTACTTGAAAGGCAGAATGACAAAAAGGAGATAAATAGATCATCCATATTCTGGTTCAGTCCCCAAATGCTGCAACAGCCAAGACTGGGCCAGGCCAAAGCCAGGAACCAGGAACTCCATCCAGGTTGCCCACTTGGGTGAGAATCCAAGTAACTTGGTCCATCATCTGCCATTTCCAGGGTGCATTAGCAGGAAACTGCACTGGAACTGAAGGTGGAACTCAATGCCAGGTACCCGCATATGGGATGCAGGCATTCCAAGGGCCGACTTAATCTGTGCCACCACAGTGGCCCCAAGTAAAATATTTAAAACCATCCTTCTTTGTATTATTTAAGCTAAAAATGCCACTTTTCCACACAGTTTCATTATGTGAATATCTTAGTTAAAATTGTGTTCAAATTAGAGAATGTCCAAAGAGTTGAGAGAGAGTACAAAAGGGAGTAGTTCACTCTGGTGGTAGGAACCCACTTGCTCTACCAAAATGCTATGTGAGACTGACCTGGCCTTCTTTTTCCATCACTAAGTGGAATTGTAGCATAAACCCTGTGCTGACAGAGTAATCATAACCTACAGTACATGTTTGGGGCCGGCGACGTGGTAAAGCTGGTAAAGATGCCACCTGCAGTGCCAGCATTCCATATGGGCACTGGTTCAAGACCCGGCTGCCCCACTTCTGATCCAGCTCTCTGCTGTGGCCTGGGAAAAGCAGTAGAACATGGCCCAAGTCCTGGGCCCCTGTACCTCTATGGGAGACCCAGAAGGAGCTCCTGGATCCTGGCTTCAGGTTGGCCCAGCTCCAGCAGTTGCAGCCATTTGGGGAGTGAGCCAGCGGATGAAAGTCTTTCCCACCCCCGCCCCGCCTCTGCCTATCTGTAACTCTGGCTTTCAAATAAATAAATAAATCTTTTAAAAAAAAAGCACATGTTTGTCAAGCATTGTCTTCATTATAACTGGAGAGTTGTCTGGCTACTGTCACACTGTTCATCACTTCCTTCTTCCTCACCTTCAGGATCTTAGGAGGACCCTTCCCATTTGTGTCAGATAACTGTCATTTTTATGTAATTAATGGAACCATTAATTCATGTGCATCTTAGTACTGCCTCTAGAAGCTTGCGATTCAGCTAAGAAGGCAGTCATATAAATTTACTATGTATTTATACATAATGGATATAGTCTAGTGTATAAGCATTATATATTTATATAATAAAAATATAAATAGCAGTGCAAGGCTGTATATGACTGTTCCGGATAATAAATAAATGAAATAGATGAAGGTGTTTGTGTAGCCAGAGAAGTTGCCGCCTATGCGAGGAGATTGCTGTGTGTTTAGGGCCTGGCCCCCCAGTGTGCTGTCTTCAGGCCAGCACAGGCTGCTGACATTTTTCTGAATTGCCTAATATCCAGTCTAGTTATGTCTTTTTGTCTCTGTCTGCAGAGGTGCTCCGTCATTTATAGTGAGAAAATCCCTGCCTTTTTCCCCTCTCTGTCTTCCTTTTCTATCTATAGATAGATATAGGTAAGTGTCACATGATTATTCGAAGGATTGCAATTTCCCTTTGATTTGGCTTTCCTGGGTGGGAAACGTTTACATCATTTTACACTTTTGAACACGAATTGCCTTTATTTGTAGGTATAGTCAGTTTCTCCCCTTCAGCATATAGAAGATTTTATGAATAATATTCAATGCAGAAAGAGCTCTAAAAATAATTTTGCAGGTAGGGTTTTGTGCATCCTATGAGGAACACTGACAGGCAGAGGAACAAAGGCACATCAGGGTGAGGGTAAGGGGAGGCGGAGCACTTCCTTTCATTTGCCTCCACCCAAGAGCTTGCATTTAGTAGAGAAGAGAAAACAAACAAGAAGCAGGAGCATCTGCACCAGCCAGTGAACGCTTCGTTTCTCATCCCCGCTAGTCACATTGGGATGGGACCATTGCAGTGTTTTGGGTGTGTACAACTAAGCATCACCACCCCCTTTTATTTCCAAAAGGAAAATCTTTCATTTTACGTTTAAAAGCACAATGAGATGTTTTTCGCATTCTCTGGTTCGTTTTGGAGTTGACAGTCTTAAAATCTGCTCATTTTCAGTAACATGGTAAAGGTACACAGTACATAGCGTTTTTATGCCTAATAGCACCTCTGATAGTCCCTAATGCATATTATGTACACACACCTTTTAGCATCCCTTTCTACCTGACAGCTTATGGTATTAGGCTGAACGTTGTCAAGAACAACTGAAATGCCAAGCAGTATTACAAAGCCCTGTAGAGCTTCTTTTTAATACTTTTCTATAAAGAATGTAAAGTGACATATTTACTAGTACATAATTAAGATGTCATACTCTTTATAGGTTTAAATTACTCTTCCAGAAATGGGGATGGATTTGGACCAATCAGCTAGTAATTCTCCTCTTGAGCTGGGATTAGGGCCTGCATTTTATATAGGGAAATCTATTGTGCAACCCTATTACTGCCTATTCTTTAAAACCTATATATATGGGCTGGCAATGTGGCACAGCAGGTTAGGTCACTGCCTGGCACACTGGCATCCCATATGAACACTGGTTTAGATCCCAGCTGTTCTACTTTGATCCAGCTCCCTGTTAATGCACCTGAGAAAGCAGCAGAAGATGTCACAAGTGCTTGGGCCCCTGCACCCATGTGGGACATATGGATGAAGCTCCTGGCTCCTGGCTTTGGCCTGGCCCAGCCCCTGCCATTGACACCCTCCCTCCCCACTTCTCTCTGTAACTCTGACTTTCAAATAAATAAATAAATATTTTCTTTAAAATAAAAAAATATATACAGGGGCCAGCACTGTATCACAGTGGGTTAAAGCCCCTGCTTGCAGTGCCGCCATCTCATACGGGCTCTGGTTTGAGTCCCTGCTGCTCCATTTCCAATCCGGCTCCCTGCTGATGCACAAAGGAAAGCAACAGAAGATGACCCAAGTGTTTAGGGCCCTGTACCCATGTGGAAGACCCAGAGGAAGCTCCTGGCTCCTCCTGGCTTCAGTCTGGCCTAGCCTTGGCCATTGTGACCATTTGGGGAGTGAACCAGGCAGATGGAATACCTCTCTCTGTGTGTTTCCCTCTCTGTCTATAACTGTGACTTTCAAATAGATGAATATTTTTCCAGCTGTTTCCTTTTCATTTTTTAATAAGAGTTATTTATTTACTTGAGAGGCAGAGTTAAGACAGAGAGGGAAAGATAGAAAGAGAGATCTTCCATTCACTGGTTCACTCCCCAAATGGCTGCAATAGCTGGAGCTGGGCTGATCCGAAGCCAGGAGCCAGGAGCTTTTTTCAAGGCCAAGCACCTTGAGCCTTCTTCTACTGCTTTCCCTGGCCATTAGCAGGGTGTTGGATTGGAAGTGGAGCAGCTGGGACTCGAACCGTGGCACCCATATGGGATGCCATTGCTGCAGGCAGAGGCTTAACCTGCTATGCCACAGTGCCGGCCCAATAAATCTTTAAAAAAAAAAAGGAAGGAAGGAAGGAAGGGAGAAAGGGAGAGAGAGAGAGAAAGAAAGAAAAGAAAAGAAATAAAAGAAGAGAAAAGAAAACCATATATACATAGGAATACTAGAATTAAGAATTGTTGGGATCCTGATATAGTGTGTATTTGACTTACTTATCTTATTCAGTTCATCATAAAGAATGAGATTTCATAGATTTACTTTCTTATTCTGCTGTTGCACATAAGTTTTTGGTATAGTGGTCACAGTCTCCAAAAATATGTTTGCTTAGAATTCTGAAAACAAAATAATAAGATTACTTTTGTAAAAACTGTCTTTAATTACAAAAGAAAAAAAGAAACTCATTCTGGGCTTACATGCTTTGACCATGTGCTAAAAATTAAATAAGCAAATATCCACACAGCAAAGTTGGTCAAGGCTGTGGCTTAGAAAGAATGCCAGCCAATGTCATACACCCTGAATGTTCCTTTCTCTTCTGTTGGCCTGGAAATACTTCAGAAAAGAAGCCATACACACATCTTTCATTTTAAAATGTTTTCGTTTTTTGTGTCCTTTGTCAGGTTTTAAACTCTTTGAAAGAAATTTTGACCATTTAATAACTAATACACTGTTTAATCCACGTTGACTAATTAATCATTGTAACTTTCCAGGTATTGGTTAGGATGAATGTCATTTGGAGAAATCGTCTCTTCTATCTGAGGCTAGGAACAGTGCCACACAGATGCCAAAGTGGTTCCCACCCAACAGCCCCTCTGGGGTCAAGGATTTTAACCAATCCAACCAAAGTTTTTGAACACAATATGTGGTGAGTTTCCTTTTAAGCTCTGACATTATGTACCAGTATGTTTATTAAATATCACCAGTGGTATTATTTTCATTTAGTACTGAAAAAGAGTTTTTAAAGCTGATAATCTAACTTATACTACAACTAATTCTCACTTAAGTGTTGCTGATTCTTCATTTCTTTGGAAATGGGATTGGAAAAGTGGAACTTCCCAAGTGTTTTTAGCAGCTTTGGGGTTTTTGCAGGCCCTCTCTGCTTATCACTGATCCTGATTTGCCATTGTATTCCTGGATGTGGGCTTGGGGGAGCTTTTTCTAGGTGGAGCTCTCCTCCCATAAAGCTCTCCGTTTATGAATACATGTCCTGTCCGTCAGCAAATGTGTAAGCAGTCCCTCCTGCTTCTGAGCACCAGGGAGAACACAGTGGTGCTCATGCTTTCTGGAAATCCACACTATGTGGGGAAACAAGTATTTATAGGAAGAGTTGATAAGTAGCAATACAAAACAGTAGAGAGGTGAGGGAGAGATGTTTGGTGCAGCAGTTAAGATGCCACTTGGGATGCCTGCATTCCATATTAGAGCGCCTGGTTTGGAGCTCCTCTGCTTCCAATCCAGCTTCTTGCTAACGCACACCCTGAGAGGCTGCAGGTGAGAGCTTAAGTACTTGGGTCCTTGCCACCCACACAGGAAAACCAGATTGAGTTCTGGGTTCCTGGCTTCAGCCTGGCCTAGCGCTGGCCATTACAGATAGTTGAGGAGTGAACCAGTGGATGAAAGGATCTGTCTGTGTCTCTGGTTTTCAAATAATATGAAAATAAATAAATGAAATTTTAAAAAAAAGCAAATTTGCAGGGCCCAGTGCATGTTATAAATTACGCATGCCTTGTAAGAAGAACTCAGTAATATAAAATCACTAAGGCATAGGCAAGAACATTTCTTAATGTGGATGAGGCTGAGATAAGTATTGCTTATTCAGCCTCTAGAACCTAGCACATTGTCTGTCATTCAGATATTTGTTGAATCTTGATTTGGATAGGTAAGGCTAGAGTGCAGGCTTTCTAGGTGGGTAGAAAGTCATAAAACAGAAATGAGAAAGTTTAAGGTCTGGTTAGGAGACAGTAAGCTGAAGACACACCTCCTCTAGGAGACTGGTGAAAGTTCAGGTTGGAATGATACAGGCCAGATATGGGGGTGGGAGCCAGACCGTGCACGGTTCCGAAGTCATGGCTGAAGGGCAGGCGTTACAGAGGCATCCAGGAGAAGTGACATCAGACAGTGTATGCAGTATATGTATTTGGTAACCATACCCTGGAAGATCTAGAGGCAGGAGAGGGCAAGTGTATGAAAGAGATTGGAAAGGAAGAATGAATAGAACTTGACTCTGGAGGTTTTTTGTTTTTTTTTTGTGTGTTTTGTTTGTTTGTTTGTTTTTGACAGGTAGAGTGGACAGTGAAAGAGAGAGAGACAGAGAAAGGTCTTCCTTTTGCCGTTGGTTCACTCTCCAATGGCCGCTACGGCGGGCGCGCTGTGGCCAGCTCACAGCGCTGATCCGAAGACAGGAGCCAGGTGCTTCTCCTGGTCTCCCATGGGTTGCAGGGCCCAAGCACTTGGACCATCCTCCACTGCACTCCCAGACCATAGCAGAGAGCTGGCCTGGAAGAGGGGCAACCAGGACAGAATCCGGTGCCCCAACCGGGACTAGAACCCGGTGTGCTGGCGCCGCAGGTGGAGGATAAGCCTATTGAGCTGCGGCACCGGCCGACTCTGGAGTTTTGACCTTAAGTGACTGATAGAAATTGGAAAGTTGAGGCAAATTATTTTTGATTTTGGGAGAAAGATGGTGAATTTCATTTTAGACATTTTGCGTAGACTTTGAGAGCAGAACGCAAATACTGCTACCTAGAAGAGGGAGAAAAGCAGTCAGGGCTAGAGATATAAAGTTGGGTGGGATGCCTGCAGGCAAAGTGGTTATCAGAAGAGCCTCTGCAGCTAGATCTCTAAGGCTGGGAAAGTGATTCTTGGCCTTTTTCTGTTTTTATTGCAGCAAAATATCAGTTTTAAAAAGAAATACTTCATCTATTACTAATTAGACCTGCACTGGGCAGGAAGGTAGACACCAGCTACATGTGGTTATTGAGCACTTGAAATGTGATTACTTGGAATTCAAATATGTTGGGAGGTTTTTTGCAACCTTAGTACAAAACAAAGTCAAGTATCTCAATAATTTTTACATTGCATTGCATGTTGAATTGAGCAAAACTGTGGATATGTTGAGTTAAAATGTATTAATAAAATTAATTCCATGTCTTTATTTTCATTTCTTTTAATGTGGCTATTAGAAAATTTTTTAAGTTATATGCTCATACGTGGTTTATATTATACTTTATGGACAGCTGTGGAATTAAACTATTTTGAGTCCATCACAAATGTGGATGATTATTATAAGCTGTGAGATAAAATGTGCCTTTTGCCAGGCAATCAAATCTCCAAAGAAACTTCTGGTCCCGGGCATACTCCTGATTTACCAATGTTTTTTCTTTATTAGACCCTACTCATTTAGTTGTTGACATTCTCTTTTTCTGTTTGATGCCAACTGTTCTTCTGCCTGAGATTCTTGCCTACTTTGTCACAGTCTGCCAGGAAAACAAGGGTGATCTGGTCCAGTGCTTCTCAGACACTGCGAGCTGGCTTTGGGCTGGCTGCATGAGAGTGCCTTGAGGAGTTACTGTTTCACTGGGCATGAGGTATCCTCCAGGGATTTTTAATTAGAAAGAGTTCTTTGGGTAAATCCTATTGAGCAGCTGGGTCTGGGAACCCTTGATCCAGTTCAGTGGTTTTCAGACTTTTCTTCGGTAGCATAACTTTTCTCAAGTGAAATTTTTAAATGGAATCCCATTATTTATTTATTTATTTTTATTAATTAATTTCTTTGGCTTTATTTGAGAGAGAGAGAGAGAGAGAATGATAGAGAGCACCTATCCTCTAGTTCACTTGCCAAATGCTCATAGCAACTGAGAGCCCCCAGGAGCTGGAAACTCAATCCAGGTTTCCCAAGTGGGAGGCAGAAACCCAACCACTTGAGCCATCGCTGCTGCCTTCCAAAGGTCAGCGTGAACAGAAGCTGGAATCAGGAGCCAGAGCCTGTGATTGAACTCAGACACTCAGACTTTGTGTGGGATGCTGAGGTCCTAACAAGCATCTTAACTGCTAGGCCAAATGCCCACCCCAGAATCCCAATATTTAAAAGGCAAAAGTAAATCTGAACGGAGTGGACATAGAGCGGCACAGCAACAGGTTTCTCATCTTGTCCTCTCCCACTCTCTTCGCATATTCTAGCAGTCATGAAAAACTGATCTAGTCTAGACAGCCGTCCTCCTCCTCAGCATGCCTACCAAGGGGGCACTCAGCCTGCAGTGCGATACTGCAGGGAACTCTCTTCCAAGATAGATGCCCGCTGGAGTAACAGGCAGAGTCATTTCCTCCAAAGGACGAGGAAGGTAGTTTCTTCACATCATCTCGCACATGCCTTGTTTTTGTTGGGGTGCCTGGGATTATTTTTTTTTTTTTTTTTTTTTTTTTTTGCCTAGAACACTTGTAAGTTAAAACTGGTTTGTTCTGTTTGTCTTCAAGTCCAAAGTTCTGCACATGAATTCTCACTTTCTTTAATCTCAGTCCCTTAATACAGTTACTCAATAAGTATTTTCTTTGGCTACCTCCATGATGATATTTGTCATGAGAAGCAGTATGGTCTGGATGCTGAAAGAACAGACTTAATGAGCTAACCTTGGAAAGCTACTTAATCTGTCTGTGGCTCAGCTTTCTCATATGTAAAACTGGATAATAGTAATATTGACTTCATAGGGTATTGTGAGGATTACATGAGTATGTATGTAGGATATAAGATATTTATGCATGGTGAAAAGCAACATATTGTATAAGAATTGCTATCTTATTACCATTTTCTAATGTATGCTTTAGTTATTTACATATCTGTTTCATCTTCATTATTAGACTATATGATTTTCCAGTAAAGACCTTAGTTTATGTCTGTTTCATAGCTGTATTTCCTATGTAATGGGCATCCCATACATATCTTTGAATAGGCGAATTCATATAGAGAAATATAAACTCTAGTTCCTATCTACTAGAAGTTTACAACTAGACTAAATGTTAATATAGTAGCTAAACATGAGCTTCAAAATCCAAAAAGTCTGAATTTAAATCCTGTATTTATCCTCTTGCAACTGTGTGAGCTTGAACAAGTTCCTTCAAGGGTTTCTTGTGAATATTAAAGAAGATGACACAAGTAAGGCTCTCAATAGTAGTAGGTGCTCACTAAAAGGCATCGTTCTTATCATCATCATTAGATGGAAGATTGAGATCTATACTCATGAATAAATTAACAATATGGAAGAGTTTGCAAGGTTACAATAAGTGGTGAAGGCAGTGAAGACCATAGGAATTCAGAATAAGAAGTTCCTGTGATGAGAAGCCAAGGAGGGAACAGCGGGTAGGATTTAGCCTGAGCTTTGAAGAATGAGGAGTATTTGAATAGTGAAGATTGTTTGTATTAGAAAAATGGAAGCATAAACAATGATCTTGATTTGGGAATAAATACAGAAAGTATATTCTTTTATTTTTTTCCATTTATTTATTTGACAGGTAGAATTACAGACAGAGAGAGAGAGAGATAGAGAGAAAGGTCTTCCTTCCATTGGTTCACCCCTCAAATGGCCGCTATGGCCGGTGCTGCACCGATACGAAGCCAGGAGCCAGGTGCCTCTTCCTGGTCTCCCATGGGGTGCAGGGCCCAAGCACCCAGGCCATCCTCCACTGCTTTCCCAGGCCACAGCAGAGAGCTGGACTGGAAGAGGAGCAACCGAGACTAGAACCAGCACCCATATGGGATGCCGGTGCCGCAGGCGGAGGATTAGCCTAGTACGCCACGGCACCGGCCCCTAGAAAGTATATTCTTAAGTGTATGAAGTAGACCATCCAACTGGAAGGGAGATTTCATATTTT